ACATCTTGTCGTTTTAACATCAGCTCCTAAAAACTTTTATTCTTTACTGGACGACAAGTACCAAACAACAGTTTATAAAATTTTTGGATATATGTATCATAGTCCATACACCGCATAATAGAGAATGAATTGTCTCAACATACACTTAAACATTTAATCATTTTTAAGCGCTAAGCGCAGTGCAAAGCGCTTACTGTCATCTTAATACTACTTCCGTTCGCGATCCAGCGCCACATAGCAAGTAAGATAACTCCATCGAGTCTTCTAAAAAATATGCAACTGGAAATCCCCAACTCGCTTTCGGCTTTTTTAGAGTAACACTGTGTTATGCACATGTCTAGTAATAGGTGTCAATAAGTGAGGTAGATAGTATACATTGTACGAAAATCTGCTGTTAGTTGATAAAGGCGGTTCTTCTCTCTATACACTGTAGTTCATTAAAAAATTATGTCGGCACTGTGTAACATGTAGCTAACAATTGCTGCAGTGATAATACATGTATCGAAGAAGTATTAAAAAAACCATCAATTGTGCAAATACTTTAAAAACGGTTTATTATATGTCATGTATATAGTGATTGTTTAAAACTCATATTGGATTTTAATAAGTATTTAAAACTCAAACTGGAAATAAGTTATTTAAAAGAAAATTTCGCATAAAATTGATATACAATGTTCTTATGATCTATATAATTCATATCCATATTAACTAACTTTTTTTTCTTCTAGACCCTTATTTCAGACAATGTAACTAAAAACAAGTCTTTCTATTATCAACCTTGCACCATGCAGAGAACTATCAATGATGTTGATTTTCGCATCTCAGTATCAATTATTAACAGACGTAAATGCATTCATGAACTGTCTATATTCGTGTAATATATGTAATATAGCCTTGTTTCGCAAGGAAAGGCAGTTTACGACTGTACGTACATGTAGGACACGTAGTGGCTGAATCCGCTTGAAGACGAAAACTAATTTCTCGGAAATATTGATGACAAATATGGCGCTTTGTGTGTGCTGTGCGCAAGATATGTCGAAAATGTAAAACCTTACTTTAACGTTCTCAGTAACGGGACAGGTATGTTTGAGTTGCCGATTTGTCTGCTTAGCAACTTTATGAGCACTAAATAAAAACAGAATGAAACAATGTTGTATATCTTCATGAAAATCAGAAAATGGGGTTTCATATTTGTTCATACTTGAGATTAATATACTATCTTTTCTTTTTTGGGTTGTTGAATTATATATCATGGAACTAGCACAAAAATTACTGGTCAATTATTTTCAGGATTTCTTTTCAAGGAACACACCAGTGCTGTGGATTTTATTTTATTCCTATCAGCATGTTTTGTGTTAAGTGGTAGTTGATATCATACCTAAAGCATCAAATGTCCGTAAAAAATAATTACCGATTCATTTTAAAGTATTTTAACAAGAAAGAGTTAAAAAAAATACTCGAGTTTTTAATGACATATTTTTATTCCGAAGAAAAAAGTATAAAATTTTTATTTAAAAATGTGATATTTACAAATCAGCTACACATATTGTGAAATCAACAGAAAAGACTAAATTTCGACCCAAATACATTATAAATCATGTATATGAAAGTCAAATATTAAAGAATAGCACTGAATGTTTTTTCATCAAACGAAGAAGACAAATATAATATACTTGATGCCGATATGTTGCACAGTGCGATGAATGTGAAGTGTTAAAAATGTTTAAGGCACAGCTGTAGCATATTCAAAACAAAATGTAATAGTCTAAGTCTTATTTATCATTAATTAATACCGGCGATTGTGTAAATAACTTACACACTCCATTGAATGTACTTCTTGTAAAATCCTTTCTATGAAATCGTAAATTGATAAATCGCTTATGAATATGAGAATAAATTGAGATATGATTAAAAAAAACCCAGTTCAGACTGAATATTATTTTCGTTATTTTAAAGATCTTTTATTCATAACTTTAATAAATGTTATCAATAAGGATTTTTTTTTATCGATATGCAGTATTGTATGCAATAAGAAATAACATCTACATTTTCTAACAAATAAAATGACAGTTGCCAACCATAGGCGCTTGAGACAGTTCAAATCGGCACACGATTGAAGGGCGTTATTCAATCATTTTTGAAGCTAGATCTCATCCGACAACGGTAGGAAAAGTGTAGGTATTGATTAAAATCAAGTGTGAACCGAGACACCCCCTGAAATCTAAGGTGGCAACTGTCGTACCTTGGTTATTTTTTATATACAGTTATATGATATTTTTAAAACGTGCTAATTTCAGCGATCTTCGATTTTTATTTTAATGAGTGTATTCAGACACACCTAGAAAAACACATAATACACAAAATACACCATCCATGCACCTGAAACCAAGCGCCTATGTCACCAACAGCAAATCTTCATTTTGAAACACTCGTGAACACGAAATGAATTTATTATTAAAAATTATCACAGTGCTGTAGTGTTTCAGTCTAATAAACTGAAACTGAAAGCAACAGATGTGACGATTTCTAATAACGTAAAATGTAGAAGCGTCTCGGAATTACACGAAAAGCCTAGAGAGGTCAGATTTGTTCTATCTGCATAGATTTAATGATGTTAAAGAAAAAGAAAACTAGAAGCGAGTGCTGCTCATAACGGCAAACTAGCTCTTAAAGGAACGCCGAGACGAAGAGTAAAATTCGGACTGTGCACATTGCTCCAAAATGAACTTTTTTCTATAATAATTCCGGAATTGCAATTTAACACAAATAGACAGTTTTTCCATAACTGTGGTATTGCTCTTTCTTGCCATAAATAAATTAAACTTCAAAAACAAAAAAAAAAGTAACTGAGTTGCTTTAATCGAATTTGCTGAGAGATACTAAATTTGACGCTCAGGCAAAAAACTGTGTGAATTTTATCTTGACTTTTTAAATATATATTCATTTTTGGCAAATTCTGTTGAATGAACATGTAAAATTTGTTCCAAAATATTAATTGACACCTGCATTTCAAATTCCTAGCGTATGATAACGGGGAAAATGCTCCGAGTAAAAATATGTAGGGCTAACATTCCAAGATAGTAGATTGTGTAGATTTGTAGAACTTTCTATTAAATATCTTTCCACCACAAGAAACAGTCCCCCATCAATCTTGTTCTTTATGATTTTATGGCCAGTTTTTAAATTGAATGTTTTATAATTTGTATAATTCAAATATGTTATAGAAAATGAAATTATAATAAATAGTTTTGAAGTGAGAGGTTATTACTGAACTTTTAATAGCTAACGAGTGACATACCTTAAATAGCAACGTATATACGACGTCATGGGATGTCACAGTCTCGAATCTTCAAATATATCCTCGTGCGGTTTAAGTAAATGTGTATCAAACAACTGTGCTCGCCCCTAGCGTTTGCACTGTCAACATATTACTTATTCCAATACAATAGGCAATTTCAATTCAAAATAATTCTGATGAATGTCAAATTGTAAACATTGCTTAGCGCTTTCCAGTACTTTCAGTGCTTTGATTTTTTAAAGATGTTGTCCCATAATATTAGCGGTGTGTGCAAACAAATTGAGAAACGCGCGCTAGCGCCTTATGAAAAACTGTTTGCACACACCGTTGGAGATTCGAGACTACATCTTTCAAAAAATGATGATTCAATGCATACATATACTTTTCTTAACTCTTTGCTTTGCTTCTTTTTTAAAAATATTTGTATTATTCCTCGGGTAAATTACAATTAATGGAAGTAAACGTGAATTTTGATGTTCGCTTATGATATTGCACTTGTACGGCGTTGAATTTTTCTGACAACAAAATAAAATGCATACTATAACCTTTTTCGCCCCCGTCTTTGTTACAATGTTTTGAATGGGTAGCTGTCAACACATGTTATAACCAAAGTACTTGTGAAATGTAAATATATCTATCTGCGTTCAAACTCGACTAAAAATTACAGTTTCTATATGTCTTCTATGATGGATCTTGTACATTCAAGAGCGGAAAACTCTATTTTTTATTCTTTTTTTGGATAAAGTATATTAAGTATATACTTGATTATGTCTGCTCATCCATTCAAAATATGCATTCATGGAAAAAAAATGGGGACATCTCTTTAAAGAAGCCTAATCCTGGATATATTGTACTGCGGTACATGAACATCAAATGTAACTAATTATGATTAGGTTATAAAATATCTTGAATACAACGAAACCTGTTTTATCCGACATGCACTGGGAGAAAATAAACATGATGTAAGATTACACAGTGTAAAGATAATAGAAATTAGTAGAAATGAGAATGAAATTCAATGTCGGAATTCACAGATTGTACAGGTGTCGGAGAAAACAGTTTCCACTGCAATACTTTCTATAATAGAACAATCTTTATCCCAATTATCTGTCAAGGTATCTTCATGTGGCAGTGTTCTTAAATAAGAACGAAATATTTCTAATTTCCAATTTATTACAACACATATTATGTACAGCTTTAACTGGGCACATTTGGTAAGGAAAATTGATAAAACATTATTGCTTCAGCAAATAGTTCAACCACAAACCCCCCTCAAAACACATTCCTTTACAAGTTTTCTCTCTTAATATATAACATTATGAAAAAAAAAAATAATAATGAATAGAATCCCATGATAAATTTAAAATTGTCTCTTTTATCAGAAATATTTCATTTGACTGATTGGTGATCGTCGTCAATTTTAGGCCTGGTCTCTCAATTTTGAACGTCCATCTGCTGTAATTAAAAAAGAATAAATAAAAGTATCAAATAATGTTTAAGAAAAATAAAAGGATATGTTTTATAAAAAAAAAAAGATAAAAGAATTAAATAATGTTTTATGAAAAAAAAGTAAAAGAATTTAATAATGTTTCAGAAAAAAGGGCATGTTTTATGCCTTTTACGAATATTCTAATAACCGTTTAAAATGTTCAAGGAAATACCAAATATTAAATACGGGTTTTTAAGATTGAGTGTTGTTTACCTAGTGACGTTTTATTAACATCAGAGTCCCCGTCACATTTGTTCCATTCTCTACTGTAGGAAACCAAGGCCAGAACCAGTCTGCCGAGGACCAGGGACCGTTGAAGAAGGCGGAGTAACATAAGTTAAACCACCAGCCTCCTCCAAACGAATCAGCACAATTACCACTCCACCTGTCGTTATCCCTGTCTGGTGTGCTGAAGTACATCCCAGACAGATTATAGTCAGAACTCCCCGTGTTTAACATACTGTCACCTGTAGAGAAAATACATCACAGAGATCATTGATTGATTCATTTAACGTAGGTCGCGGGTTTGCTGACGTCATTAAAACTGGGTACGCAATTTATATGGTTTGGGTGACTTTCTTGTGCACAGTTGATTATGACGTCACAATGAAAAAGCAATTTCAGTACATCATTATCTAGTTATAACTTTTGTTGGTATTTTATTGTTATATTATTTAAGGCACAACTTATCACAAATAATGAAGGCTTTTTACGATTTGAATAGTCGATACAATATTTACATATAACTTTTGTTGGAAATGGTAGTTTAGTGTAATGTTATTTATAGAACAAACTGAATTATCAAATATAATGAAGGCTTATTACGATTCGAATCCACACTGGAAGTATTAGAAAGCGTTTCATTAAGTGTTATCAATAGCATCCCGGAGAGCTCGGAATTTTCGGCTTGTCGGAAAGGTCCGTGAAATTGCGATTGATTAGATATCACATGGTATCGCGAAACGATATGGGCACAAGTTTCAACTGACCTCTTTTCCTTTGAACGTATTTGAATTAACAGTTTGTTTAATTAATAAAGAAATCATTATATAAACAATCGTAAATACACCTATTACATTAAAAGTTTAACTTTTATTTTTAAAAAGGGCATTTTAAAAATTCATTTAAAGGTTTATCACAAATTAAAAACTGCTAAAGTACTATGAAACATAAACTAATACATTTTTTGAGCGACACTGGCCTCCTGTAAATAAACACAGGCACTGGGGATATGGATTCCCCCTTCCCATTTTTTTTCTCTTTAAATTTGGGGTCGAGTCACCTTTTTCCTATTTTTGTATTCTAATACCGACAATTTACCCTTAGGCCGTAAAGATGCCCTTAGATGCGGGTGATTTATTTACTAATCGGGGGCACATGAAAATTAAATGGAAATATGAAACAGAAGAAGAATGTGTTAAAAAATATTGATGTCTGCATATTTCCTGTTTTCTTATGCTTTAGATAAATAATCATGCGAAGTTTCAAAAAGAAAAAAAAATGGAAGGGGCATTTTTATGTATCAATCGAAAACAATAAATTTATAAACAGCTTATAGAGACAAAAGGGTTACATTATTGATAACATATAGTACATATTAGAATTCAAAAATAGGAAAAGGGTGACTCGACCCCAGATTTAAAAAGAAAGAAATGAAGGGGGGGGGGGGGGGCGGTCAATACTCCAATTGCCAGTGTAAGTAACGGCTTACAATGCTGTTATCTACAGATTTTATTCGCTACTTTGCTTTCCATGTCCAACCAGTCGAATCAATGTTATATAAATTGAAAGTCTTCTGAAAAAAAAAAAAAAAAAAAAAAAAAAAAAAAAAAAAAAAATCAAAACAAAACAAAAAAAATCTGCCTGTTGAATACGTCAGATAAAATCAATTTTTAGATTCTCGTCCCATTTACCCCTCTAAAAATGTCTCGTTCGTTTTTTTTTTTTTTAGTTTTTTTTTTTTTTTTATTCTTATAGGTATAATCATAAAATTAAGTTCAGATTTTTTTGAGTTATCTCCTGTCTGTATGTAAAAATAAATAAAAACATTTTTTTAAAAAATATATACTGAAAACACAATGTATTTAGCCGGGACGATATTTGGCGGAAATTCATAAATTAAGAAGTTATCGTAGATATGAGTGCATTGCTGAATGTTCTAAATAAAAACATTTCATATGTATACTTGAATAAGAGGATAACCGTTTTCCGCCAGCACGCTGAAAAATACACAGCCAAATATAGGATATTTATCTACGAAAAAGAAAACCAAACAAAACGAAAAGAAAAGAAACGGTAAGAAAACAACACATAAAGAAAATACATTGAAAGAAAGAAACTAAAGGACTGATTGTCGTTTTAAGTCCCTTGAGATAATTTTCACTAATATGAGACGAAAGGAGTCGGCAATTTTATCCATAAAACAACGTAAACAACAACCAGTGAGCTTCGCTACGCTCGCAAAGCTCAATGGTTGTTGTTTACATTGTTTTATGGATAAAACTGCCGACTCCTGTGATGAGACGTACAAGGAATATAAGAAGAGATGCATGTCTAATAACCATTTCATTGCTATTGAATTATTATGATACGATTCGTGGGTCGTATGAAAGCAGACAGACGTGGATTAAAAATATTTTAATTTGTTTTTCTGCTCTGTATACCGGATCGATATTCACGACGTCAAGCGTGACGTCGCGATATTTTATGACGTAGTTCTTAAAAATGTTAAATTTTGCGATATAAAAGCAACTATCTACATTTAAATTACGAGAAAACAAACCTGAAGACATATTAATTTTTTCACATAGATTTATTTCAAATCAATTCTAGTTTAAGATACCAAAGGGGGAACAATTTCGTCTGCACCATTTAAAAGTTAATGACACTTTTCGAAAAAAAAATCTTGCCTGAAAACGAGCCGAAATCGACGTTTTTCCTATATAATTAAATACAATAACGTCGAAAATGTTACTTCAACAATAGCATCTTTGGGATTTAATTACTTAAAAACGATGCAGACGAATTTTATAAAACTTTCCGAGAATGTAAAACAAAGGTAGAGAAATCATATAACTAATTTTCATGGTATGTTTTCGGACACTTTTAAAAGGCCTGCAAACCCGCGACCTACATTAAACATTGAATCATTATTTTATGTAAGATTTAGTCTCATAACTACAACGGTGTGTGCAAACAAATTGAGTAACGAGCTTTATCGCTGATATTTATATTTTTAACTCCTTGCCTTGACTGTAAATTTGATTTAGATTTCAAAATCCCTGTATTATCCTTAGGATAAGTTACAATTAATAGAAGAGACATTGCAACAGATTCTGTTTAATGTGATCCCGAATTTTGATTTTGATTTTCACTCCTGACATAGCACTTCCACGGCGTTCAACGTTTGTGACGTTAAAATAAAATGCATACTTTAACCTTTTGACCCCCTGTCTGTGTTATGGTGTTTTGAATGCCGTAGATTCCTCACACTTTATAAGCAAAATACATTTGGAATGTAAATATATCACATTAATTTTATTGTCAATAATACTGAAGTACATGTAAGATAGTCGGCTTCTCGTGCTGTCTTCTGTAAATAACGATACCATTTATAAAAAATACAATACAAAACGCTATGCAATTCATACAGCATCCTTTCTAATGGAACAATAAACCCCCAGGCGTATTACAATTTTATGATTAAAAAAAACGAAATATTTTTTTTAGGTAAAGGTCACTGGAAATATTAGAACAATGAATATATCCAATATATTAAAAATTGATATCTGTTAGAGATCGTGACTTAAAAATGCATTAAATGCAATACGAAGCAAATCATTCAAAATTTTAACAAGGTAAGAAATGATGGTTTTAAAATATAAGATTTTCATTTAATATAGAATATGTATTGTAAAAGTGAAATGCCCTGAGATGTTTTGAATTCGGCAGTTTTAATTTGACTATGTTCCCGATCAAATAGTTTTCTTTGAACATCAAGCTTTCATAAACATTTTGACATTACATATCAAATACGCACTGTAAATTTCCTAATCATTAGTAGTTAAAAATATAAATTATTGAAAATCATCAAGAAACTCAAGCTGAATAACAATAGCGGATCAAAGGTAGTTACTGGATATACACGTTACTTGATATACACGTTACTGGATATACACGTTACTGGATATACACGTTACTGGATATACTAGTCACTGGATATACTAGTTACTGGATATACTAGTTCATGGATATACTAGTTACTGGACATACTACTCACTGGATATACTAGTAATTGGATATACTATTTACTGCATATACACGTTACTGGATATAGTAGTTACTGGATATATAAGTTACTGAATACACTAGTTACTGGATATACACGTTACTGGTTATACACGTTACTGGATATACTAGTCACTGGATATACACGTTACTGGATATACTAGTCACTGGATATACACGTTACTGGATACACACGTTATGGATATACACGTTACTGGATATACACGTTACTGGATATACACGTTACTGGATATACACGTTACTGGATATACTAGTTACTGGATATACTAGTTACTGGATAAACCACTTACTGGATATACTAGTTACTGGATATATTAGTTACTGGATATACCAGTTACTGGATATACTAGTTACTGGATATACTAGTTACTGGACATACTACTTACTGGATATACTAGCAATTGGATTTACTATTTACTGGATATACAAGTTACTGGATATACTAGTTACTGGATATACACGTTACTGGATACACTAGTTACTGGATATACACGTTACTGGATATACTCGTTACTGGATACACTAGTTACTGGATGTACACGTTACTGGATATACTACTTACTGGATATACACGTTACTGGATAAACTAGTTACTGGATATACTCGTTACTCGGTATACTAGTTACTGCATATACTATTTACTGGATAACACGTTACTGGATATACTAGATTCTGGATATACTAGTTACTGAATATACATGTTACTGGATATACCTGTTACTGGATATACAAGTAAGTGCATATACAAGTTACTGGAAAATGCTAGTAACTGGATATACACGTTACTGGATATATAGTTACTGGATATATTAGTTACTGGATATACAAGTTACTGGATATACCTGTTACTAGATATACAAGTAAGTGGATATACAAGTTACTGGAAAATGCTAGTTACTGGATATACACGTTACTGGATATACTAGTTACTGGATATATTAGTTACTGGATATACAAGTTACTGGATATACACGTTACTGGATATACAAGTTACTGGATATACTAGTTACTGGATATACACGTTACTGGATATACACGTTACTGGATAAACTAGTTATTGGATATACTAGTTACTGGATATACACGTTACTGGATATACTAGTTACTGGATATACTACTTACAAATAATTAAACATAATTTTCTTGGTTTTTAAGATATACAATTTAAAATTTCTACTATTTAGCAGTGACTAATTCAATGCCTGCGGAATTTGTGATTTGTACTCACAAATGATATCGTAAAATACAAAAAAAAAAGAAGTTTGCTTAACGCAGAATCAAAGACCTTTACAGAATACTAGGGAAAAATGTCTCTTTGTCTCTTTTTTCAAAAACTAAATAAACATTATATGCAAAGAATTACATCATGGTGCACTTGATTTGAACCCAATTTTCAGAACTTACCTAAAAAAAGCACTTACCTAAGGTTCCCGTGGCAGATCCTGCAAGAAAGAGTTGGTATTTTTCTGTTTCATCGGAGACAGAGAAGCGACCGTACAACTCATACAGCCTTGTACCATTGTGGAGAGTGATGGCAGCATAGAGGAATGAGTTGTTTTCTTTTGTTAACTGATGGATTATGTCATTTCCTGCATTAAGATATATTTAAAATCAACTGTAAAGTGCATTGCATACAATTAATTCTATTTGAATATGAATATATCTTGATGAAAATCAAATTATTTTCTTAAGCTGTAGACACTAGTGCTAATTTTTGTCTCTTTAATACCATGCCTCTAAGTGATTTTTAATTACCTCTTGCTTTCATTATTTTCTTATTATTTAAGATACAAATTAAACAGGATAAGTGAATATTGTCGAAACATACTACACAGTCTTAAAACCAAATCTTTGATACGCTTCAAATTTATATCTTCCATAATAAAGAAATGTTGTCAAACTTCGTAGCGGGTGATAGCCCTTATTTGAAAGTGATTTACACTTACCAACCCAGACGTCCTCTTCAAGTGAACCAAAACCATTCTTATATTCCGTCCAGGTCCTGTTAAAACTCAGGGATCCGTTTACGCGTTTCTGAATTGCCTTTGAAAATTAAAATGTATAACAATACAATTCATTGGTTCGAAGAAGAATTGTAGAATCAATGTGTTATGATATATCAACTCAAATTATACATATATTTTTTTTTAATTCTACAATCCTTTAAACAGCAAGAACACTGACTGTAAATTATTTTTTGTACTTTTAATTTTGATATAAACTAGATACCGTCCACCCTCCGTCCCTTGTCTCCATGTCGCAGTAAACTCTGACAGGACTGGTAATGGTGCCATGGGGGTAAATGTCATACACCCCTGTATCAGTGTAACCATCTGCGTGAAGATCCTTACAATCTAAGGGAATAACTGAAAAAAAAATACTGGAATCATATTATGCCTAAATACAGATAGTGAGAGGATACATTATACCTGCAAGATATATTAAGGTTAATTTTTGAAGCTAAATTGTGAACTACAATGTAGATTATGTTAAGCTCTCCCTAATTACATGAAATTATTTTGGTTTTCTAATTGTTTCAGATCTTTAATGCATGATATGGTAAAAAGTATTTCTAAAATTTAATACAATTAATCCCAATACTCTGTTGATAATTCGAACATTATTTGTATTTCTTATAGGAATGTTAATGAGGAATACATTTATAGATCAGATGGTGTACCACGTGGACAGTGTAAGAGAACTAATTTTACTTCTAAAAAAAAATACATGGCAATGGTGTCGTTTCTTTCAGCTGATATAAGGTATGTTAAAGTGAACATTTCCTAAATTTTTAGGTCCGTACAATGGCCTTGTTTTCAAATACAGTCTGTTGTTGTATTGAATTTAGACTGACATCTTTAACACAGATATTAAGGCCTTTATTTTCACAATGAAATGTCCACGAACTTTCCGTTTTCCAGATCAGGACAGGGGACACAAGGTGGATCTGACCGGTAGACAGAGGGTGCTTACTACTGCATGGCGAAGGATTCTCCACCCAGCTATCAGGACAGTTATTTGCAAGATAGCGATTTGGAGTTCCTAGCTAAAAAAAATCTCTCTTTTTCGATTATTTAGTCAATTACAAGCTATAATTTTCTAATGGTTAAGAATGATACAGTGTCTTTAATCTAAAAATTAATATTATTACTGTAGAATCACCGTGTGAAAATTTTACCTTATATTTTCATTAATATATCCTATACAATAGAAGTTTATTTATTTTTTTTTTTTATCAAAGTTAATACTAACAGAAAGTAAAGAAAGATAAAATAGTGGAATCACAAAATATAATTCCATCAATCTCAAATTAATCATTAATTAGAAATAAAAATAATAAGAAAAAATCAGTAAAGAGACAAAAAATATTATTCAGAATTAATAATGTTGAAAACACAATTGTTTATACCGCATAAAACAGTAATCTCACGGGAAAAAAATCGCATCGTGAATAGTAAATATTAATAAACCTCTTTGACCTAAAAGGAGTGCGATAAAAGCAGATGAAGCGTTTAGAGTGTTTTTTGTGATTTATGTCAGACAGACAGGCGCAGTGGTTAGAGCATCTGCTCTAGAGTCGCCGAGTAAGGAGCTCATCCTTACGTCGCGGGTTCGAATCCACCGCGGGATGTGGAGACTGGACCTTCGGATAAGACTGTATAAACCGATGTCCCCTGTCGCAGTAGGTGTTGGCAGGAAAAAGATTATTCACTTCTCAATGGCCCCCGAGTGCCGAACATAGGTATAAATTTGTAGCCCTTCATCGGCAAGTGGTGGCGTCTCCATGTGAGTGAAAAATTCTCGAATTGGATCTTAAAAAACAAACAAGCAAACAGACATAAGAGAAATAACAATTATACATACAGTTATCAGAGTAGTATCTCCAACCGGCCTCATCAGACATCTCAGACGTTAATCTTTTCTTGTGGGTACGACATTTCTTCATTTGAGAGTTGAAACCAAAGAAGACGCATTCCCTTTGACACATCGCGGCACACTCGGTCAATGAATGAGAATTATATTCTCCTAAAAGTTCGTTATTTGATTTCTTATCATTAAATTCCAGTATCGCGGTATATTTCTGTGAAATAATGATAGGTTCGGATAAAACTATGAATCCGACAATAAAAGAGATAAGACACTGATTGCTCATTTTTTTTTTAAGGAAAAAAAGTAACTGCTGCGTTCCTGTGAAAGTTTGCTAAATGGTCTTTCAACCGCCAAAATATATATATATATCAGAACCCTAATCAATGACAGAAAAGTGATTGGCTAACCGTTACGTACTCTGTATTTTGCAATCGTTTAAGGATCGATTTTATTGAAGTTAATATGAATTGTCATAAATGATTACTTTGCAATTGCAATTCCAATTCCAATATCAAAATGAAAAGTTTGCTGTTTTTTTTTCACATAGTTTATGCCTCTAATGTTAAGACACTGTTTTTTTTTTTTTTTTTTTTTTGGTTAGCTGTCTTGAAAATATCGAATTTTTATACATATTTTCCTTTTTCACTATTGGCCTCTTACTCAATGCAATTAAAATTCTGCGATTTCGGTATTCAAGTTCAAAGAAACAAATATCTGATTCTCGGAATTTATTAAGAATTTATTGAAGTGTTTCAACTTTTATACATTAGCCTCCAAATGTCAGTGTAACACATTAAATTATCAATTTTTTTTTTTTTTTTTACTTTTGAATTTAATTTTTCGGATTACAACCCTCGAGCACACCTTAGAAAGACATTATGTAGACTTTGTAATATACAGTGGTAAAAGTGTTCTTTGAGATCGTTCTAAGACGTATTAAAAATCTTTCAAAAATGGCAAGATTTTACGATACATGTTCTAAATAAAGGGTTCAAAATACGTTGTTTTTACAAAATACGAATCATGGTAAGTAGATATTATTTGTAACTTATGAAACTCATACTCATTATTTTAACCTCCAAAGTGAGGCGCAATAATTGTTTTTGTATTGTACAAATAATGCATAAAATGCACATAGAAACAGGCGTGTTTACGGAGTTATTTCTGTTTTATTTATACTGCTGAGAGTCTTGTTCTTCATGTTTCGTTTTAAGAACATGTCATAGTTCACATGAAATATGTTTTTCTAATAGAGTAGAAAGCCTTATAATAAATCAACCAACGAACGATACCAGAGGGATAAAAATCATCCGTGATAAAGTAATTGGGCCTTAACGCAGCTATAAACCAGCTATGAAGAGAAATTTGGAATAGCTGACTTATCATATTATAATATTTTTTGGTCCTGGCAGAGCTCGGTACCAATTTGTTTAAAAAAAAGTTTTAACAAAAACGATGATTATAGATCCGCTTACGACGTAATCATGTATTACAAAACCCGGTACACTAGGCACACGGAACCATGACGTCATTCCATTAATTAATATATCACAAAAATTGTGACCTTATTACAGGTATACATCTTCAACGTCTACGAAAAGGCTTTACACTTCATAAAATCAGTTTGGAATTTTTCAAATACCCTCCGTTTATAATTTCATGGAGTAAAGATTGACCAGTAGAATAACATTGATTTGATTTAAAATCATACCATTTTTTTCATTTTCAAATAATAATGCCACATATTGCAATCAATAGTCCATTGAAACAATACAAATAGGAAGCAGAGCAAACACGGACATCTAAAAGCATCAGAGGTGGGGTCAGGTGTCATAGAGGAGTAAGTATCTCTGTCCACCGTTCCCACCCCAATGTGGTCCTTGTCATTATCGAGCAAACGGTAAAACCTTAACGATTTAGTGTGAGATAATGGCCTAACAATTTGTATAAAAATGTCAGCATTCGACTCAACGATGGGCTGAATTTCAGGATAAGGTCATTGTGTCAATCATAGAATTTACGAAATGTTGACTTTAAGCGCACTATTGATTTTATTGTTTCATCAGCATATTTTTTCAATAGCTTGCCTCGTTTAAGAACACGATTCTCGGGAGTGGATCTAAAAGCCTTTCGTGCATAAGTCGCGTATAATTTTCTGATAAAGATTTTAGGAATAATGAATCCCACGTTATGATATTGTCTATATAGTAATTTGCTAAGTTAGCAATTACGTAAGGAAAATATCTGTACGTGCAATTTTAAAAGCGATTACAACATAAACCGGGAAGAAATTTTCTCTGTTGTCAGTAAGCAAACGGTCACCGGTGACAGGTCAAAGGGGGTGCAACGGAATATTAAATAGAGAAGTCTTCTGGTTTAAAATATCTGGAAATAAACTCGCTTGTCGATACATCTTAGTATACACGTACAACTTGATTTACAGTAAATACCCCTGAATTTAAATTGCTGTGCAGATGAAATACGTGAAAATGTGAGAATAACACTCACATTAAGAAAAACTTAGTCTAAGATCGTTTTATCATTTTAATATCTTCATAAACTTCATGATAAATTTTTACATTTTTTGTTTTCAATTTGTACTAAAGTCAACGTAAATTGTTATTTGGAAATTAAAAGTCGCACAACACCTGCTGCATTACAGAATTATATCTCTTAGCATCCCCGACATTAACCAGCAATTACTTCGATAAATATTCATTTGAATTGTTTTTTCCACTTAACAAAAATTTTCATTGTATAAATTAAAAATAGAAACACATGATTAAAACATTTCCTTTAAAACACAGAGAGAAAAAAAAAGATTTAGAGAAGCTGAAGGTAAAACATAAAAAGAATTATTAATCACGCTTCTCAACAAGTTTATAACATAGTCGCATTGAATTTGTTATTGCACAGACTTATACACTGATAAACATTATACCACAACGTACGTTGAAATGTAGTTCGGTAACTAAATATAACTATATCCATTGGAAAATAGAAAGAAAAATCCGTCCGTAGACATACATCAGGTCAAAATGATGAACGTAAGGAAAATTGAAAGGTTATTTCTATTAACATCTATAAAAAGGATGCTTAAGACCCCAAGACCCTACAAAACAAATACAAATAACTTATCACCTCAATTATCTTGACTTTTCATTGTAATCGATATAAGTATAAATACTGTATATAAAACAATTTACTCCTCTCACTTAGAAGTTTAATTCCTACTCGAAATATTTACATTACCAATATAATACTTTTTTTTCTTTTTTGCCCAAAAGACAAATGACATTTAGTTTATCAACTTGATCTGTATCTTCCGATTATACAAAAAATAATCTTATTAATAATTTAAAAGAAAATAAAAAGTAACTTTTAAATGATTTAAAATTACAAAAAGATGAAATTCTTATAATCTAATATATATAATTAACAATTTCTTTAGTTTTTATTTATCCATTTTTTTTAAAACTGAATACTAAAATACGATATCAAGTACATATTATAATTTTTACCTATCCATTTGCTCCTATTTTCTCACTAACACTCATTCATTTTGGTTCATGGAAGCTTACTTGTTAATATATTTTAAAATTAAGAGAGAGAAAAATAGTTAAATATCAATATAAATACAATAATATAAGGAAAACCTTACGTATTGTAACAGATTAAAACTTAATATTATTGTCAAATAGACCTTCCCATTTATTCCATAAATAAAATTTTTGCATTTCCAAATTCTGGCTTGCAATATATTTTTCAACCCTATATTAGTGTAGAAGTAAAATAGAAGTTCCAGAACTTTTGGCAGATTGCCTTTTTAAAACATGAAAAATATATTGATTTGTATACAAGACAGAAAATTTACAACTCTATAACATTTTGACAAAGGAAGTTCAACTAACAAAAAATACTAATTACATTAAAAGTCTGTCAGTGCAAAATTCAAAGAATCGTCCAAATGGAAGGTTGCAACCTAGGATTTTTTAGTGGCTTAAATTTTTTTACATAAAAGTAGAAGTCAGAATATTTACAGAAAATTGTTGAACCTTGCATCTATTTCTAGTGACAGCTCATTTGCATATTTGTCGAAAATCACACTAAATTATACGGACAAAGCCATACAAACTGATTAATTCAAAATGTGACCTTCTGCCATCAGATTATTTTCAAATTGTGTTTTCTTTTCAAAAGCATGGTCTTATTATACAAATAATAAAGAAAAACTTAATTCAAATGAATGTTTTATTTCTTAAAGGTCTTTTCATAGATCCTAAATCAATGAGTATGATTCTTTAGCAATTTTTTAATGCTATTTTCTCTCAAAAAAATTATTATTAAAATAAGCGTAATCTTTAGAATGGTCTTAGGTCTACTATGTATTAAAATATTGAGCTTGGGAAATAATATCTACATGTTCAAAATAAACTTTGAAATACCATACTTTGCTACAATTTCGCATATTTCAAAGAACAGCCTATTATCATATTTATTGACTATTTCCTAAATATCTAAATAAAAAAAAAAAAAATAAATAAATAAAAAAAAAATAGGAATAACTGATTTAGATACTTCATATAAATTTCTATTGCTTATTTTAGCCCCCTGCTACCAATTTCCTGGAGTTAAATTGTTATCTCCCCTTTTCGGAACTCTTTAGTATTATTGGGTAAAAATGACATGTATATCAACATGGAATAACGAAGGTCATCATGGTCATGTATGATCATTTTGTATGAACCTAGGGAGTTGTTGTGGATCATCATTTTTGTATGAAAGTGGAAAACTCATTTTAAATATCTTTGAATGTAAGAAAAAAAAGCAACAATCTAGCTAGAACAAGCAAATAGCCCCTGCGCTAAGGCCCATTTTGTTGTATCGGCGTGTAGACATTGAAATTGTGATATAATATGTTAAAACGTTTATTACACATGTATGCTTTAAAACATCGTGATGACGTTTTGTTTACTGGAGAGACAAGCAAACATTGTGCATGTATGCGGATAGAAGATTCATCCTAAAACAAGCAAGGACAAAGCAAGTATCATGATACACGTTTACAATATTCCGCTTGTGCAAAGAACACACGAATGCAGCCAAAACATATGCCATTTTGCAGTACAAACTGGAAAGAATTAAAAAAGGGCATGAAATTAAGATCTATAAACATGATAAAGGAGTGATAATTTCATTCAAATAAGAGGGGGTGCTGTCGAATTTTGTCAGGGCATTTATTTTA